CTGTAGTAAGAATAATAATCTAATGATACCTTTTCCTCAGAAACGTTTGCTTAACCTATTTCTCAAAATGCTGGATTTTACAACTGGTTGATGCTGCAAGTCAGCCTGAAGTATTAACTTATTTCAAGCGAAATCTGAAATACTATTTCAGAATTTAGCAACTTTTGTAGATGACAACCCTAGGTGCAACCGTGTGAGCGGCGATAGGCTTATCGGTTTTTGTTGTGCAGTAAACTTTGTATTTGCCGAATAACGAAATATGGAATGAATATTATTTTCACGAATGATACCTAGCTTTTTGATAATAATAATAAAATTATTTATTTGCCAGAATACGGTTAAAAATTAATGGTTATAGAGAGAGAAGTTTCCATTATATTCTGTCGTACATTTACTATTGTTAATTAGGTAAATGCATTTGTTTTCTACATGAAACGTAAACGTAACTAATGAATAAACCACTTTAATCTTTCACGGTTCGTATAAGCTAAGGGTTCAATGCTTCTTGTGAATTATTATCATGTTTAAAGTAATAAGCTTAATTTTGAGTTAAATATATTTATTTATTTTTTTTGAGTTCCTTCTTGTTTACGATTTCACCCTAGAGATGTAATCTATCATACCACATACTTTTTACATAAGAGAAAACATTATTTGGCTATACATTCTTCAGTATCATCATCAGGTCATTTAGTCTCCAATGCAGAAGCACGACTCTCTTTTGTAGGTACCAGAGGCAAATGGATGATTTGGGCCACACTTTCCACGCTGGTTAGGCAGGTTGGGGATGCCTAATATTCGCATAAAAGTCATGAAACTCATTTATTTTGCAAATAGGCTTGTAAAAAGCATTTTTACACGTCCCAGTATAAACTCTACCACTGCTTCGGGACAATAAATGGGCCAGTGCAGAGAAGAAGCAGCGAAAGACACTCAGTCGCTATTGTCATATTTTTGTCCCATACTCGATACTTACTATAGTATTCGCGTCGAATCGAAAGTACGTTACGGGAAAGAAAGTTACGGGTCCAATGACAGTTTAACTTTCCCCCGGGACAAATTTGGCCTTCACTGGTTGGGTTTTTATTAGCGGTCAAGCTGTAGATCCTGGCTATACAGGAGTTGCAACGGGAACAGAATAAGTGGAAATAGTCCTATAAACTGTTATATGACAAAATATTATTCGCTATCGGTGCTGTCATCGCCACACCTAGCTCGTTCCGTTTCTTATCTAATAATCTGGACGAAATACTGCATTATCTCATGCACTAAGTTTGGCGTGAAGCCAGTGCACTGCCGCATACCTACCTACTTAAAATTGTTCGGGTCGGAAGTCGGAGGTCACTGTAAATAAACAACTATAAGAGTTATTCGAAAAAGAACTATATTGCAAAAGTTTATTTTGCACAAAATCAGAGTACAGTGGCGGACTTAATGCCGGGTGGCATTCTCTAACAGCCAACCACGGGTCGAGCAGAGATGCTAAGGCGGCGCAAAAATTAACATGCACAAAAATTTATACACCTACTTACATAAAAATACATAAAATAAATATTATATGAATACATAAATGAAAAATATTATACGCGTTTTGTCGATACAATTTACGCTCGCTCTAGCTACGAGAAAATTTTTTAACATTGCGCTATTATGCTCTCTTTAGCTACGAACTTAAACGCACTATGATAATTCACATTTTAACGCATCATCAATCATTTTTTATCATACTGATACCAATGACGTGTTATAATAAGCGCTTTTCTTACAAATAAATGATGATGAATGAGAATTTAATCATTTAATGACATTCGTAGANTAATGTGCGGGGAAGTCGATAACCTCTTTCGTAAACAACGTTTTAATTACGTGTAGGTAGTTATAATACTTATTATACTGGTACTGTGACTATAGGTGCATGAATCTATAACTCAAACGTGACTGACTGACTAACTGACTGACTGACTGAAATAGTGATCTATCAACGCACAGCCCAAACCACTGGACGGATCGAGCTAAAATTTGGCATGCTCAGTTTCATAAAATATTAGATCAATGCAATACCAGAAGAAAACAATGTCAAAAACACCCAGAATATTGCATGAAACCAAACAAATTAACTGGTTATCATGCAAGTCCGCACACGTATCGCGGCGCCCCCTATCGGGCGAATTGAATCAGTGCACGTGCGCTGCGAAAGCTGTGGTGCTAGGGCTGCTGTATGTCCGAAATCGTCCGGTTTTGTCCGGTAGTGTCCGGACTTTAACCTTGCGTTAATCTAATCATTAACTTGATCATTTAGACACTGCAGTTCCAGACGACTCTCTTTAATTTAATCAGTGCACGTGCGCTGCGAGAGCTGTGGTGCTAGGGCTGCTGTGTGTCCGAATTCGTCCGGTTTTGTCCGGTAGTGTCCGGTCTTTAGACGTAGTTTAACTTCATCATCATTACCTGATCATTTAGACACTGCAGTTCCAGACGACTCTCTTTAATTTAATAAGTGCACGTGCGCTGCAAGAGCTGTGGTGTTAGTGTTGCTGTGCGTCCGCATTCGTTCGGTTTTGTCCGGTAGTCTCCGGACTTTAGACATAGTCTTACTTCATAATTTTTACCAGTTCAATAATTAATTTTAGTCACTGCAGGCGGACGACCCTCTCTATTTTACCCGAGAATGAGAATGATCTCACGCTGACCAGACGTCTAGCTTGAACCGGCCCTATTTTCTATTTTAACTTATCTACATATCGAAAAGGATTTAAAGCAAGAAGTAAAGTAGACTCGAACAGAGACAGAAACGTCTCAGCTCAGTAATCTCAAGTTTTAGTTATTTACATGTTTGCGAGATTTTCTTTTTAGACTTAGAAGACTTATAACTAGGATTATAAAAAACAATTGCTGTAGTAGTAGTTTTAATGAAATTTTCTACATTGCCTCAAAAACGTTGGCTTAAACTATTTTTCCAAATGTTGGACTTTCTAAACTGGTTGACGCTGTGTGTGAAAGTCAGCCTGAAGTGTTCAATTAATTTCAAGCGAAATCTGAAATACTATTTCAGATTTTAGCAACTTTTGTAGATGACAACCCTAGGTGCAACCGTGTGAGCGGCGATAGGCTTATCGGTTTTTGTTGTGCAGTAAACTTTGTATTTGCCGAATAACGAAATATGGAATGAATATTATTTTTACGAATGATACCTTGCTTTTTGTTTTACTATTAATTAAATGCATTTGTTTTCAACATGAAACGTGCTAATTTAAGAACTTATATAACCTATCAAGTTTCATAAACTATGGGTTCAATGCTTCTCGTGATATCATGTTTAAAATGATGGTGCTTAATTTATTCTAAGTGAAATATCTCTATTTACTTTTTTGTTTTTCAGGTTCGTTCTTGATTACAATTTCATCCAAAAGATGTGATCTATCATGCCACATGCTTTTAACTTGAGACAAAACAGACATGGCAATGGATACTTCAATATCATCATCAGGTCAATTAGTATCCTATGCAGGAGCAAGACTCTTTTTTGTACTAGAGGCAAAAGGAGGTTGGGTTCACTCACCACGCTGTCCAGACAGGTTAGGGTGGCCTAATATTCGCATATTTGTCTCTGACGATACTGTTATACTATAGTAGTATTCGCACCAAACTGAAAGTCGATTAACTGCGTTACGGGTCCAATGACAGTTTAACTTTCCCCCGGGACAAATTTGGCCTTCACTGGTTGGGTTTTTATTGGCGGTCAAGCTGTAGATCCTGGCTATACAGGAGTTGCAACGGGAACAGAATAAGTGGAAATAGTCCTATAAACTGTTATATGACAAAATATTATTCGCTATCGGTGCTGTCATCGCCACACCTAGCTCGTTCCGTTTCTTATCTAATAATCTGGACGAAATACTGCATTATCTCATGCACTAAGTTTGGCGTGAAGCCAGTGCACTGCCGTATACCTACTTACTTAAAATTGTTCGGGTCGGATGTCGGAGGTCACTGTAAATAAACAACTATAAGAGTTATTCGTAAAAGAACTATATTGCAAAAGTTTATTTTGCACAAAATCAGAGTACAGTGGCGGACTTAATGCCGAGTGGCATTCTCTACCAGCCAACCACGGGTCGAGCAGAGATGCTAAGGCGGCGCAAAAATTAACATGCACAAAAATTAATACACCTACTTACATAAAAATACATAAAATAAATATTATATGAATACATAAATGAAAAATATTATACGCGTTTTGTCGATACAATTTACGCTCGCTCTAGCTACGAGAAAATGTTTTAACATTGCGCTATTATGCTCTCTTTAGCTACGAACTTAAACGCACTATGATAATTCACAATTTAACGCATCATCAATCATTTATTATCATACTGATACCAATGGCCAATGACGTGTTATAATAAGCGCTTTTCTTACAAATAAATGATGATGAGTGAGAATTTAATCATTTAATGACATTCGTAGATGGCTGTCGCATCTGTAAACCCTTGAAAACTCTTTTTCACTGACAACAATGACTGAGTTTCTTGTGCTGCACTGGCCCATTTATTGTCCTGAAGCAGTGGTAGGGTTTATACTGGGACATGTAAAAGTGATTTTTAAATTCCTACTTGCAAACATAATTTTTTTTATGAGTTTTATGAAGAACTGTCGTTTCCTGAGGTTGTCTGGAAGAAAAGTCTTCCTAGCGATAAAACCGCGTTGGTGTTTTCTTCAATTTTTCATTTATATGAGGCTTGCAATAGGTCACAGTTGTTCTATAAACAAAAACCAACCTTCTTTGCAGTTTGACATGAAAACTACGCCTCCTTCATTAAAACTCCAAACGCTTGTGATTCCCAAAACGTAAATGTCAAGGAGTCTGTAAAAATAGCTTAGAAATTACAAACGATGGTCGATGGTACATCAACATCCAAACTGCCATCTTACGTGATTGTAATAGGGGTGACTTTGCAACAAAAATATTTAGAATTCAAACATTGTCTCCGTTGTTCCAGGTCCTGACAGCTGCCTCGCACAGGCACGGCCATGATGTTTCCACCGAAGACCCCGAGCTGATCGAGACGCATGACAACACCACACACCATGGGAAGGTAAAACTGCTTTACTTTCAATTGTTTTTTTATAAGTAGGTATCAAGAGGTGGAGGTGGACCGACGACATCATAAAGGTAGCAGGAAGGCGCTGGACGCAGGCCGCTATCAATCGATCAACATGAAAATCATTGGGGGAGGCCTATGTTTCGCAGTGGACGTCTTTAGGCTAAAATGATGATGATAATGAGGTATCAAAGTCAATTATACTGGATGACACAATTATAATAATGCTGAGTATAATCAGAAAGGCACTGGATGCAGGCTGCTACCAACCTATCGTTATGGAAATCATTGGGGGAGGCCTATGTTCAGCAGTGGACGTCCTGTGACTGAAATGAGATGATGATGATGACCCTTAAAACCGACCCGAAAGGGATTTCAAAGTTTAACGAGAACAAAACTGCGAGCGAAAATTCGTATACTTATAAAAGCCCACTTTTGAATAATGTAAAAACTGTCTCACTATTTACTCTTTCTAGCAATCTAGTCAACAACTTTTATTTTTAGCTTAATCTTCCTTCTTATACAAATATTAGTAAGGAGGTAATCAATAACCATCTAACAAGGAATAAGCTGTAAACCCCTGTTTTTAATGTCGTGGACCCGTTGGGAATCAAAGTATGAAGTTACACTTTTTGAAAACAAGAGAGCTGTGGACCTTTGGGAATAACCCTCCGTTTTACCATAATCTCCATTATTTATGACAGCTTTTTATTTTGATATCACTCAAACTATCATAGCTTCTTGAATATCCCATTGACTTTTTTTATCCACAACAAGGAAGCTCTTGGCCTGTATCTCACCTGATAGTATGTGACGATCAGGTCGAAGGTGGAAGCGAGCTTTATCCGGAATCCTCAACCACGGAGGAACTGGCTACCTTACCTCTAAGGGCTATATTATTTCACCGGGACACCATGGCGGCGCAACTAGTCGCCGCTACCAACAAAATGTATACAGCTCTATAGAGAGTTACTCACCTAGTGTCCATTTGGTTGCGCAAAGCTGCATACATTTTGTTGGTAGCCGGCGACTGGTTGCGCCGCCATGGTGTCCCGGTGAAATATAGGGCTAACTGCTAGAACACAACAATGCTGTTAATATTGTTGTTATGGCGACAGACTTAGGTAAGATGGTGGTAGCTAGCCAGGCGGACTTAGAACAAGCCTACCACCAACCAAACCGAACAGAAAAATCTGCCCCCACTGGGTATCGAACCCGGGACCTCTGCGTCTGAAGCAGGTGGTCTTACCATTAGACCACAGAGGCGGAATGTGCCTTTACTATCAACTATGTTACAACCTCTCTATGTAAATCGCCCTCGGATCGGGTGTAATTTGTCACAGTCGTCATTCGACACCCTGTGACGTCAGAGTGATTGAAGTGCTCAACAGCCGCTTGAATTTCAACTCCCAGCATGAGTTGTTGTGGTGACACATGTGTCTTGTGTTACAGAGATCAATTCGATGTACAGTAAGCACCAGGGATGTTATGGATATCCGTAACCGTAACCGAAACTTTCGGATATCCGAAATAAAAAAATAAACCATAACCGATTCAAAAGTTTCAGATAGTTTCGGATGTAGGCAGTTTAAATTGTTTTTCTGTATAGCATTAAAATAATATGTAAAGGCATAACAGCCTGATTTATCTTTATAATGCCAATTTTGAATGAACCGTGTTGGACAACTATTTGCATTCTAAAGCACAGAATATCCGTAACCGTAACCGAAACTTTCGGATATCCGAAATAAAAAAATATCCGTAACCGTAACCGAAACCGGTATAATATTATTCCTATATCCGTAACCGTATCCATAACCCACACTGCATAATCCATAACATCCCTAGTAAGGACATCGATGTATATTGTAACNATTGTAGCAAAATAGCTCACATTACAACTCCATAACAACGCCATAATGTTCACCTGATGTTGGGTCCGTTGTAAAAATGATTAATTTGCTCCTATTAGTCCCATTGGCAGGTTATAAGGGACTCATGTTAATACTTAAGATCTGTTACTGCATAAGCGCTGGACGCAGGCCGCTACCAATCGATCAACGTGGAAAGCATTGGAGGAGGCCCATGTTCAGCAGTGGACATCCTATGGCTGAAATGATGATGATGATGACTGCATAACCTATTAAGTACTGGCCACCCGCGACTTTGTACGCGTGGATCCCGTTTTATCCACTTAGTGTGGAGTTTCGTAAAATCCCGTCTTAGTGAGCACCTACGTTCTAAAAGGAACCCCCATGGAAAATTTGAGACTCCTAGCACTTGTAGTTGCTGAAATTTCATGATGAGTGAGTGACCTTTCGCTTTTATAAATACGAGTTCAGATTGATTAAAACTACGTTAGAACGCCACAGCTGGTGTTGTCATATTGTGTCTGTTTTAAAGAACATTAATTTGCGGCTTTATACTTGGAATTTTCACAAATAATCGCACCATTTGTCAGTTTTACAACTCGGTACCTATTAATGGTGACGAGACAGTGGATTAAATGTAAATAATGTTAAATGTAAGTTATGATTATTACACAAACTCATAACACAAGCATTTGCACCTTGCGAGATACAATTTGGCTCAAAACTCCATTACCTGCATTTGTTTATATTGATAAATTGGCTATTGTGAAAATTAGTAGTACTAAGTAGATACCACTATCAGTCAGGTCAGATCTATACCTGTAGTTAGGGTGGCCAGGCTTTTATGTGGCTGCCGCGCCAGTCGAAACTCAAGTCACAGAATAATGCTAATTCGAAAATGATAGCACTCTCATTAGCTATGACGCTATTTGCAGTGATGTTGGCTATGAAAGGTATGTCTGGCTTTTACCTGCCAAATGAAGCACAGAGTCCGGCTTTTGTGAATTTGACCCTGGCAACCCTATCTGTAGTCTATCTCAGTAAACTAAATCATAACGAGACTCAAAGGGTGGGAAGGGGTATCATCTATCATCCTTCATTAAATCATTACTTGGTCTCATTTTTTTTTAGCCCTCGACGTGTATTGCCAACATCATCAAAAAAGAAGAAGAAACTAAAGCAGACATAAACAGCACTTAAGCTCAATCATATTGGCAAAAGCCAATCCATTACAAAGCCAGTTCCAATGTAAAAGGTAAAACCAAACGCCAAAAAAACTAAGGGAAAGTCTGGAACATCCACAATCATGCTTTTCTTTGACGCCGAGGCAATGGCACTCTCTATTTTGAACCTTACCCCCTTGGGTTAAGGGTTAAGGGATTAAAGCGGGTATAGCAGGCCACAGTTGACAAATTGGAGTTGGCCTCGGTACGAATTTGCATATGCTGTTGTTGTTTCATAGTGGCACGCGGGGGGGCCAAACACAAGAGAGAGCGATGACTTGAAGATTCACAAACTTGCTTCTACATCTGATAAGTTTAGTTGCAAGTTTTAGGATAGTCAGCTGTCATATAATTCGCTGGGCCAGCTAGTTTTGTCCTTAAGTGCAAGTTTAGTGTTCATTGATTTATTAAGAAATCTTCTGGGTGTTCTAGTTTCACTATTTAAGGATCTAGCAAAATTCTGACTGACTGGCATGGATCAAACCACGACAAATTTTAGGCCCATAATGTTTTTTCTAAACAGACCCGATGTTAAGTGAGATGCAGTCTAGAGTGGTATTTATCTGCCCACTAAATGCCTATCACTCTCGCCTTGAAGAGGGCCGGACTAAGCTGTCGAGAAAAATAGCAGTAAGCAGCAAATTTGAGTCTCTAGCTGTTCGCATCATAAAAGCGAGCTGGTGGAATATCGACAATGTAGAGATGATTCAGATGATACGCTAATCTGCGGGGGCTGGTGCAATTAGATTGTTTCATGTTATTAGGTTCTACCGTAAGTAGGCGTAGGAAGGCGCTGGATGCAGGCCGTTACCAACCGTGTGATGTGGAAGTCATTGGGGGAGGCCTATGTTTAGTGGACGTCCTGTGACTAAAATGTTGATGTCATACAGTTATTTCGAAGCGAAGTTCTCGTGCCTTACACCACATCCCGAGTTCGACACAGGCTACGTTTGATTGTAAATTCGAATGTGTGTCGGACGCGCTGTTTTATTGGGCTGTTTAGCGCCGCCGAATTGAATTGCTCGTATTGGGTCTTGATAATATAATCTTGTTGGGCTTTATTGGCGTGGATCATTCGTTTTTTGAAATGAAGCCTTTTAATTAAATTCTGGAAATATGTGGGACGACTTGGCGATTGACAACGTACTCATAGGATTACTTGTATCTTAGTTATAAATCGCATCCACCAATGTAACCTTTTTATGTACAAGGGAGGTATTTGACCACAATCGCACCTGGTGTTAAGTGAGATGCAGTCTAGGATGGTACATGCCCTGTAAGTGCCTATTCACTCTCGCCTTGAAAAGGCCCGGATTATACTCTTAGGCTGAGTTGCACCACCTAACTTTGTAACTAGGTAAACGATAACCGGCGTTTTTTGTATGGAATTTGACAGATTTTTGACGTTTCTTAAAGTCAAAGTAAGATGGTGCAACCCAGCCTAAAGTCTTCGGGAAAGACAGCAGCAGGCAGGGAATTCCAGTCCCTAGCTGTTCGCATTATAAAAGTCAGTATTTTTGGCAAAATCATCAAATAATGTGGAAGTTTTTCCTAGTTGAGACAAAAATGAATATAAAGATGAATGCTGGAATTGCTGGATTACCTACTTATGGTAATGGAACACTATTTGATAGAGTGTTCTTTGACAAATCTACCAAGATGCGATCTAAACGGTCAAGTCACATTAATTTTGACCAAATAATATGTTGAGTTTGTGAAGTTAGGGCTTATAGAGTCATATCGTGTAGCATTAGTTGCATCTCCGTCAGCAGGGGTACGCCGTGACAACAGAGGGCCCCCGCTGAAAATCAGTTTCAAGACAAGCCCTGGCGGTCTTGATGTACGCTGAGCGGGTGCCTTTTTGTCAGAGGGGCACAAGCAGTTAATTGTCCACTTGTTT